ATTCAAAGTTGAGCCCAATTTGTCAAACGCAATGGCCTGGAAATAATACTAATTATGAAGTAAAACCACTTCATACCTTTTCTCAATTACGTCGAACTGAAAAGAAGAGTCCACTTTTACTACTTAACGGAAAAATCAAATACACGATTGTTACGTGACCCTTACCAGTATTTCATACTACATTAAAATCCAGTTAGTGGATGATGGACGAGTGTCGTCCGTATAACAATTACGGGCCCTGTGTCTAAAAGCTCTTGAAAACCTACGACGACTAATGCTAGATATTTCTTGAATAGTTAGCGATACCCAACATTCATCCACGGAAGAGTCCTTGAAGAGGAAACAGAACTACCGTAAGACAGTGTTTGAAAAGTTCACTATACTAAACATCAATTGGCCATGCGGACTAATGGGTACCACTATAGGATAGACCGTAAGGATTTATGAGTTCCCTATAGAATAAGCCATGAGGACTTATGAATTTCCCTATAGGATAGACCATGAGGACTTTTGGGTACTCCATAGGATAGAGGATGAGGACTTACGGGCACCACCATAAGATAGACCATACAGACTTATTCGTACCACTATAGGATAGGTCATGGGAATTTATGAGTACCCCATACGACGGGTGATCAGAAATTACGGGTACCCCGTAGGGTAGGCCATGCGGACTGATGGGTACTTCCATACGATAACCCTTGAGTACCTCTTGATTCAGTCGTATGGTAGACCTTCAGGAGCTTTAAGTACATACCCTTGAGTAGCTGTAGGAAGCTATGAGGTAGCTCCAGCAGTGGACAACAGTATTAATCGATCGGGAAATTGTTCCATTTCAAGGAGAAATGCTTTACCCTGTAAAAGGTCATACATAACAAGGAGAAATGGAAAAAACACTATACATATGCATCGATGACTCATTGTTCTTCTACATATATTTCAAATCTCCTTGTCTATCATACACTTCTGTTGGAACGGAGCGAAACGGTTCATTCATTTCTCCTAGAAACATTTACATTTCTTCTGGAGAAAATCCATTTCTAGTAGAATTTCTCCTTATAGTGGAAAAATACTTTTATTCATTTCTCCTTATAATGTAAGAATAATCTGATCGATTTCTCCTTATATCTTATACATTTCTCCTTGTAAGGACAGATATGGTTGATGCGCTTCTAATCGAAAAGATTTAGTGACGGCTTGTGTTTCGCTATAAAAGCGTTTCTGCTTGACTTTGTGTGGGGTAAAAGATTTCTGCTGTCAGTGGAACAATTTCTCGATTTTGGGGGATATCGTCCAGCCCTCTAAAAACTCAAAACAGCCCGAAAAAATCGGAATATCCAAGAAAATCCGAAAATCCAAAAAACCCAAAGAAATCCAATGAAATCCCACGAAATCTGAAAGAATCCGAAATAATCTCAAAATCACAAATCCGCCCCCCCCCCCCCCCCCCCCCCTTTGATTTTTATCAGATTTTACAAAATTCGTCTCAGTTGCAAACTATCGTTTTTCATAGAACTGTTGATATTTCAGTTTTTTTGGAACGATTTTGCATCCCGAATAGTGAATAGAATCTGTATAAAAAGTCTCAGTTTGATTAGACATACTAGAACTCAGTGAAACGCGGGACAAATACAATGTTGTCCACTTCTAGGCAGGGACGAGACTGAAAAATAGGAAGTACACCGAGTCGGATGAAACAGGATGGGACTAGATTTTTCTTCGCCTCATCCAGACTGTTTCCTTTCATTTGAGCTAACAAACAACAGTTTTTGGTAACTCCTCTTCAAGAACATTTCATCTTTGTTCAAGAATAAAATCCAATGGGTACTTGTTAAAGAGTAACGATAGACAAATATGGGCTTGTTCTCGTTTATAAGCCTCATAACTTGAACAATAACGTATAGCTCTTACCAGAGCTGCAAATGGGATATTCTTTTTTATATGACGTGCATGTGTACTTGTGTAAGGGAGGAAATATGATTCATGTGATGGCTTATGAAAGACTTCAGATAACAATTTACCTCCTCTATTCTCAAGTTTAACGTTGAGGTACTCTGCAGTCTGTCCTATGGATTCTGAAAGTTCGATATTAT